TTGTGGACAACGGGGGGAGGGGGGGGGGTCATCTTGGTTGCCTAATTAACTATTTAAAATACCTGTCAGGTAAACTGCATCTCTACCTTAAGTAACTATGTACCAAGTTTCATTGAAATGTGATGATTACTACTTGAAATATCAAAAGCTGAAAATTAATTAATTATGCAAATTAGGTAATTAATATGTACTGATATTACACTAAAAACTATCAGGTCTGTGCAGTGTCCTATGACATCTATGTACCAAGTTTCATTGAAATGTGATGATTACTACTTGAAATATCAAAAGCTGAAAATTAATTAATTATACAAATTAGGTAATTAATATGTACTGATATTACACTAAAAACTATCAGGTCTGTGCAGTGTCCTATGACATCTATGTACCAAGTTTTATTGAAATGTGATGATTACTACTTGAAATATCAAAAGCTGAAAATTAATTAATTATGCAAATTAGGTAATTAATATGTACTGATATTACCCTAAAAACTATCAGGTCTGTGCAGTGTTCTATGATATCTATGTACCAAGTTTTATTGAAATGTGATGATTAGTACTTGAGATATCAGTGGAAAAACCAAAAATTAATTATTATGCAAATTAGATAATTAATATTGCACAGATTTTTACTTAAAACTAATCAAATCTGCACATTAGTTCAGAGCATCTATGTGCCAAGTTTCATCAAAATCCAATGAGTGGTTCTTTAGATATCAGTGGAACAGTCATGGAACAGCTAACAATCAGCTAATTATCATGCAAATTAGGTAATTAATATGCATGGATATTTACCAAAACCTAATCAAATCTGCGCATTGGCCCAGAGCATCTATGTACCAAGTTTCATCAAAAACCGACACACACAGACACACATACGGACACACATACGGACACACTAACTGCAAAGACTCCCTTTTTGTGCTTCGCACACGGGAGTCAAAAATAGCAACATAACGTTTGCAAAGCAGTCCCAGACATTCAAAAGGTGGCTTTAAGCTGACCAATTAGACTGCCCTTGTAAACAAATTAACATATTTATCTCTAATGAAATGCAACTTGTGAGCGCTCGCTTATATTACACAAGTGTTGGTAAAATTGTACAAAGAATGGTGAATGAAAGTGCTGCGGTAAATATACTGTAAAATACTTTATATTTGCTTGGAATGAGGTGATTTCGCAAAAGAGGTATTTCAATGAAAATCAAATCCAGCAAATATACCTTTTCCCAATTAATTCACATTAAACTCATCAAAAATCAGTGAAAATAAATTCCATACAAAACACCCAAAAAGCCTTTTCAGTGAAAATTAATTCCAGCTAATAAAGTAAGTACACTGAAACAGCGGATGTAAAATAACAATTGCATGTGTTGAATGTGGGTCTATTAAAATAAAAATTATTTCGACCACAGACACACATCTACCATGCATGCAGATGAGCAAATCAAACATTACCTGTAGAAGTCTTGTTCTGAGACCTTGCTGGTGCTCCTTTAGAAGGCTTATCTCCCATTTTGGCTGGTGGTGGTCGAGGTGGCGCTGGTGCTTTTTTCTTAGGTTGATCGGGCTAAAACAAAACATAGAACAATTATCTAAGCTTTTCAGTAAAACAGATAGGATAAGTTTGGCCTTCATTTGCGTTCAATGTCAACAAATAATGTATATAAGCTAATGTATACCAGTTATTAATTTTGACAATCTGGTAATAAATTCTGTTATCTTCATAATTTTCAAATCTGATTTTCCAAACTTTACAATGCAGAGAAAACATATCACATGTATTCTCTCAGAGTGAGTCGTCATAAAGAAGTAGTGATAACAGTTTACAAACATACCCTTGCTGGAGCCGTTCTCATTGACTGTGACCGTGTAATGGACGATGAACTACTGCTTTTAAAATTAGTACTACTGCCTCCTTCAGTTTCTGGGATAGGTGAATCCAGCAATGACAAAGATGAAGAACTAGAGCTAGAGTGAATGGTCGGCCCACCAGAAGGTCTAGGAGGCGGCGCAGACTTAGATGAAAGACCAGATGTAGGGCTAGCAATAGGTCTTGGTGGTGGTCGACTCTTGCCTGCAGATGGCCGAATAATTGTTGGCCGTGATGATGCACTTCTTGTTGTTGGTGCTGGTGTTGGTCCAGTATGTGTTATTATCGGTATTGCACTTTCTTTATCTTCCAGATTTTCTGGTTGTTCATTCACAGTAACAGGTGATGGAGCTTTTGAATATAAGCTTTCAATATCTTTGATAAACTTATTCATGTCCTTTTGAGGTTCTACCCCACTACCAGCGCTAACGTTTGGTGTACTGGCACTATATGCTGGCGATGGCTGCCACGCTGCAGGATTTGGTTCTTTTCTCCTGGGGCGAGAGATTGGAACCGGTGGTGGCGCATTCATCCCCATTCCGGTCAGCTCACTAGAAGCATCGCTTTTAAAGCTGTCTGGTTTTTGAGAAGGCTTTGGCCTCGGTCTTGATGTTGGTACTGGTGGCGGTGGCTGTGACGAAGATGGAAAAACTGGAACTGCAGATACAGTCGGTTTCGGTGTTAACGACGGAGCTGGCGTAAATACTGTACTTTTATCAAAAGCGACAGGAGCAGTTGTTCCAGACGACTGCCAATTTTTAAAAGGATCTTGGATCTGTTGTTGTTTCTGAGATGACGAAAAGGGGACTGAAAATGGATCTTGATCAAATTGAGATTCTTGTACTGATGGTGGAGACTGAGATTTCTTCTGAGAAGGCTCTTCCACACTAGGTCCAATGGTTGGACGTAACATTACGCCAAACATACCTCCAGCAGACTGGGCAGATATCTGTTCCTGGGGCAGCGATGCTGTCTGACTAGGAAACTGTGAGAAACTACTTTCATTCTCGATTGTTTTAGGAGATGGTGAAGAAGGTTTTGTAGCAACTACGGGTTTACAGGAGATAACAGGTGGTGTTGAGTTAGGCCTTGTAGCGACTGGTGAAGGTGTGATACTCTGTCTTGTGGTGCCCGGAGGCGGGGTGGATGAAACAAATCTTTGACTGTTGAAAGACTGTGAAAATGAGAATATCTCAGGTGATGGTGATGGGCTTGGTTTCAACACCTTAGATTGTGTATAATTAGTCACTGGAGGAGGTATATCTGGGCTGACTGAAGAAGGAGCTGAATAGTTTGGCTTAGCACTCAGTGGAGGTGGTTTTGTTGCTATCTTCGGATGTGGTGGGAGTGCGGGTGCTGTAGATTTATCAATTTCTGGAGCACTCTCAAAGACTCTTGATGATCTTACGTTAGAGGCAGATTTAGGTATTGCAGTCGGAAGTGGTGGCACTGGAGGTGGAGGAGATATTGAATCCTCTCCAGTTTTTGGCCTCACAGGCAACGGTGGTCCAACACTTGACACAGCACCAGCTGGAAGAGGGGACTGTGGATCTGTATCACCCCTCTCATCTATTGGTTCTGCCTTAGAGCTCTGAGATAATGGTTTAGCAACTGGCACTGGTGGTTGATCATTCTGAGCTGCATCGTTCATTTTAGGGGTTGCATCCTTTTTTACAAGGGCTGGAACAGACACAATAGGATGAACGTATGAATGTGATGGTCTGCTTGATGGCAAAGGTGGAGGTGGACCTGAACTAGTTCTGTTGGCTGGTAATGGGGGAGGCACGTTTGGAGTAGATGATGATGATGTCACAGATTTTTGAGGTTGCTGCAAGTAAATAAAAAAAACAAATTTATTTATATTCTTATCGGTAAACTTTCTAACACGATTTTGTGTGTGTGTATGTACATTATTACAAATTATAATTGAATTCTAGATAAATTACAATAGATCATTTGCAAATGACTTTGAAATTCTACAAAGTGGTCATAATCTTCAATATTTGGATGCACAAACAATTGAAATACAACACTTTGCAGATGGATACATGTATAACATAATTTGCGCATACACGTATTTGTATGTCAAAATGTCACTTACTACTGGTAGTCCATATGCAGCTCCACAGGTTGTACCGATATTTCTATCATTTTGTGTTTTAATAGATAAATAGAATATTTGTAATGTATGTCATATTACAGCTACATGTACATCAAAACAAGTTCTCAGGAAAGAAAAATACTTGCCTTTTTCTGGTTAGCATCGTTATGAGATAGAGATGAACCTAGTAAATAAATAAAATGTTGAACATTTTCATTGCTAATTTCAATGTTATGGAAATTGATTGAACATGAAATATTGAGAAAAACAAACAAACAAGAATTGAGATGTCAAGTTAACACACAGGGCATGAATATCAAGAAAAAAAAACCCAGCAGAACATGCAAGAATATTGAGGTGCATCGTATAATAAAATTTGCAAATTACCGGTATCGAATAAAAGATATTTAAGTATGATCCTTAAAAATTTAAATTTCAAAAAACAAAAATTTTCAGAGAATTTCCAGATATTTTTGTTAGAATTAATAATTTTGTTAGTAATGGCAATAAACTTTAAAATATATTAATGTGAAGTATATGCATGATCCACACTTGATCTCAGTTACAGCATTGAACAGCTACAAAAAATGTAGTATTTCCAGCTAACACTTTGGTGCAGCATTTTGCCTATTTTTCTTATTAATTTTAAACCAAATGAACATAAATTTCTATTGACTACTAGTCTTGTTAAAAAATGTTGTCTTGAAAAAAATACAGAAACAATTATGTCATGCGTGTGAGGATGCAAAACTCATTTTAAGTTGACTACACATACTGTGCTTACTCTACCAATAACATATGCCATACATAAATTCCAGAGTCAAAATAAGTGATATTCAGTATACAACAAATGTTATTTTGTTTCACACACGCCTCTATTGGAGATGCGCTTCTAATAAATACAGTAATCTAGACTTATTCAATTGAAATAACAAAGCTCAGATTTCCCACTAAATTGTTCTGATTTGTCAGGTAATTATTTTCAAATATGAGCTAACAATATTGCAGTGTTGACTTATCATATCAAGTATCAACAAGAAGCCTATCGGCTGAGATAGCTCCGCTGTTAGCAATGCACATTTCAATTAAAGATATCATTTGAAAATGAACAATATGTATAGTATTAGAGCAATCGAACTTTCGGTTTTTAACAAGAAGTCGAAAATATCACTTTTCACCAAAAATTACAAAAATATTCACCAAAATTAGATAATTGAAGATATCATTACAAAATGAACAAATCTGAGAGAGGTTCACATGTAGTACCTATATATGCAATATCAAAGCAATTAGACTTGCGGTTTTTAACAAGAAGTCAAAAATATAATTTTTTACCAAAAATGATAAAAATATTCACTAAAATTAGAGAATTAAAGATATCATTACAAAATCTGAGAGAAGTCCACATGTAGTACCTATATATATATTATCAAAGCAATTGGACTTGCCGTTTTTAACAAGAAGTCAAAAATATAATTTTTTACCAAAAATGATAAAAATATTCACTAAAATTAGAGAATTAAAGATATCATTACAAAATCTGAGAGAAGTCCACATGTAGTACCTATATATATATTATCGAAGCAATTGGACTTCCGGTTTTTAACAAGAAGTCGAAAATATCACTTTTTGCCAAAAATGACAAAAATATTCACCAAAATTAGAGAATTGAAGATATCATGATGAAATGAACAAATCTCAGAAAGGTCTACCCAAGGTACATATACACCAAGTATCAAAGCATTCAGGCTTGTAGTTTTCAAGAAGAAGTCGAAAATGTAAAACATTGACACGGACGAAGACGGACAATCACTCATATGATAAGCTCCGCTCGACAAAGTCGTCAGCGGAGCTAAAAAAATCTTGATATTAAATATGTACTTTTATAATTTTATTTTCCCTAAAACCCACCCATTCACAGTAACACACATCATAATATGCATAATTTCATATAAGGAAACGTGAAAATAATCCTAATGAATTAATTGATTGATTGATGAATTATGACAAGTTAAAATGAAGTAAACTTCACAAATGAAGTGAGCAAGCCATGCACCCTGTGGATCCCGATATACTGTGATCAATTCAGACTTCAGTCCATCATAGGAGTTTGAAACATGAAAACACAGCACATGTTATGCAGAAATGAATATGAATATTTACTGGATTTTAATGAAGATGGTGATGGTGGTGGTGGTCGCTCCGGCAGTTCTTTTTTAGGTCTGTTAGCAGGAATGGGTGGAGGCGAGTCTGAGTGAGTCTGTGTAGTATCTAGCATACCTGATACTTGCGGACACTCACTCATGGGTCTTGCTGATATGATAGTAATCTCGGGACGTCTGAAATATAAAATAAAATTATACTAGCATTAACTTCAATTGAAGAAGGCTTAGAATAACAGTTGGGCATTAGAGGCATATAAAATAGAAACAGGAAATAGTAAACTACATGTAACTTGGAGTAAAACGTAGCTTGTGTGATAGCCAACTTATAGAAGACTCTGGATAATTTATACAAAGTAGGTAATTATTATGCACAGATTTCAACCCAATACTCACCATGTCTGTCAACAACTCCTGATCACCTATGTACCAAATTTCATTGAAATCTTACAAGTGGTTATTAAAATATCTGAAAATTGTCTAAATTATATGCATGGATTTCAACTCTAACATAATCAGGTATGTGGAATTTTCAAGAACACCTATGTTTAATTGAAATCTGTCAAGTAGTTTTTGAGATATTTGGAACAGCTGAAAACTGGTGAAGTATTATGCAAATCAGGTAATTATTATTCACAAATTTCAATAAAAAAAATCAGGTCTGTGCATTATTCAGGGGCATTTATATGTATTTATTAAGTTTCATTGAAATCTGGTGAATAGTTGTTGAAACAGACATACATACATACATACAGACACAAAGAGAAAAGCCTCCCATTGTATGCTTTGCAAACATCAGTCGAATACAGAACTGACGACTAGTATTATCAATATATATTGTTTGAAAAGTACGCCATTTAAGAACTGAATTATTTAAAGTTAATAAATTGATGGATAACTTTTTGTTTGTCAGGTTTATTTATGTATACATGGAATGTATAGATGAGTACATATCACCTGACCCTTGTTAGTAACAAAGTTGACAGCATGATTATTAACACATGATTTTTCATAGTACAGAGAATAATAATGTAAGGATGGAAAAATGATTTTTCTTGTGGCTTGGCAACTACAATTCTGACTGCAACTCCCCCAAAACTCTATCATTATTCTCATATTTCAGACTTAAAGTTCAAGTACATACACAGCATTTCTTATTTGAAATGATAACTAATAATTCATTCATGTTTTGTATAGTTTGTCAACTTACCCGCCCCTCGATTTTGTTGGTGACATTTGAGCAGCAGACACAGGTCTAGTAGGAGATGTCTGTGAAGGCGTTGTTGGCTTTGCAGGAGGAACAACTGGTGGTGGCCTTGCAGGGGGAGCTGAAGGATAAAAACACATACCCTCTTATTATCTTTGTACCACAGAAATAAAACACTGTTTATGCATATTGACAACATGCAAAACACTGACCATGTAAAGATCTGACAAGACTAGCATTAGACAATTTCAGTTCTCTTTTTGGATTCTAATTCCCCATTGGAAGCAGTGATCAAAATGTTGAAAAAATGAAGCAGGTTTATTTCATGGAAGGTGACAAAAGCTTATATCCTGTGGAGTATTGGAAAGCACTTAATATATGAAATCTGGCTCTTGAGATTGTTATGGATCATTATGCAAATTAGGTCATTATTATGCACAAATTTCAACCAATAACAAATCAGGTCTGTGCAGTACCACTGATTACTACATCAGTGACAAAATAGTATATAGTAGCAAACATATAGAGCTTTTGCCCTATTATAAAATATTTCAGGAAAATATGAAAAATTTAGTAAAAGCAAACTTACTGCGTAGTGGTGATACAGATGTTACTGTTGGCCTAAGAGTGAAAAAAAAGATGATAACATTTCCTTAATAATGAATTCAGGTGTCTAAAAAAAAGGTCATGAGGTGACACATGTTTTTTCCTCGTTCCCAATCAAAATAAAGTCACATGTAGCTATATAGCTGGTTTATCATTTTTGGTTGTGATTGCACCAAGCCACTCAGATTAATGAGATACATGACACTCAAATTTATACAGCTTTTCAGGTAGCATCAAAACTTAATTAATTCACAGTAGTGAAAATAATTGATTTTTGCATGAATTAATTAATAATAGCATACAAATGAAAATTATTCTTTTCATGTGTATGAATTAAAAATACTGTTGGACGATTCAATGAATAGTGATTCATGGAATACTGGAACATCTGTAATGATTTGATTGGCACATTGGGGATACATTTCTGTGATTTTTATTTAGTTACACATTTTATTGTCATTATTTATCATTTTTATGTCCTAATGTTGCTACCATACAATACTCTCAGACGGTACTAGTCTGATATCCAGGAATTCAGAATGTCGTTCCTATTGCACTCAAGAATAGACAGCACAGAATTCTGTGTCTGTGGCTGTCTCCATGATTTCAGTACATTACAATGGGAAATCGCATGTGCAGACTGACGTTTACGTAAGCCTGCCTACAACACTCCAGACCGATTTTCTAGTCTATTATTCATAGATTTTTCAAAGTCTCGCGATAATAGACAGCATCTACATGTAGTCTAAGATGTTAGAGTCATAAAATTATTATACAATGAAATGTATAATTGTGGATTGTAATTAAAGTTGTATTGTTGACCAAATTTTGCTTGAAGCCTTAGTTATGTAGAAAGTAATATTCTTTATGGACTGGATACAGCTTTTGCGACCCAAGATCGTGTAACAAGAGCGTCCAAGTGTGCGAGGGTACATCAGCCGTACGACAGAGAGTAGCAAAAGCTGTATACAGTCCATAAAGGTTTTATCATACACCTTATAAGTGTTATCACAATTTTACCACACCTTGACCCTAAACACACAACATAATTTACAATGACACTGGGCCAGGCGTGATACAGGAAATTATTGCCCTTATGTGAGTGCACAATTCCCAGTGTTACGAGGCCGGGCAATATGATGTATATAATAATATGTGAACTGTAGTGAATACAACAGCTATGGAATTCGCAAATTATCAATACACATGATTGTCATTAATAGCTTTGGTTCAAATTGGTTGTAATTGAGTTTTCATCATTCTAGGGTGTCATTAAGTCACTGAATTACACACAGAATCTGTTTGATGATCGAAAATGTACTATACTGGTACATTACAAATTAATACTTGAAGTAAAGTAATTTCCATCGAGATTAGTCTAAGACTGACACCAGAATCTAGAGTTGTTACCTGTATTTAATAAGTCCATCCCATTTGAATTTATAGGAATTTTCTTACTAATGTTTGGACTGCGTTCAAGCAAACTTTAAACATCAAACATTATATACTTCCTAGGTTAGTTGTGTTTAGTGCACTCCTTAAGCAGAATTAAAACAGCCATGCATAACAGTTAAGATGATACCATAAATAGCCTAAATGGTGCAATGCGCCAGGTTTTGGTCGGTTCAACTCATGAATGCTGTAAATCTTGGTGTTTAGTTTTGGCAGAGTTACTCACGTCATGGCGACAATACAACTTTTATTATTATGACAATGAATAAAATTAAAGGTGAATAACAATTAGCATACAGATGGTTAATTTTCTGGGGAGAAAACTGCCAATGGAAGTGAACATAAACCACAAATTTCATCAAAATATAACTTTAGTTTAACCATGGTCACGCATCCCTATCATTAATGTAAGTGCACACACTTTTAATAGAACAAATATGGTATGCCTAATAAATTGAGCTCACCTCGTTGATGGTACTATTGGTGGTGGTGGCAATGATGTTGGCCTGGGTGGTAATGGTACTACTGGGGGAGGAGCATTATCATCACCATTCTCTAATGTCTTAACAGCTGTAACAGTGAAGAAGATGAAAGAGAATTACAGATCAGACAGACCATGTTCTTTCCACGAATGAAGCTGAGGTTCAGTGATGTCTGTACAAAACATGATTTGATAAGATCATACACACTAAAACACGCATGGTTTCATAATCAACTGTGTTGTTTATTCCTGCAGCTTGTATTAAAACACAAATACACCATGTCAAAAACAGATACATACCATGTACTGTAGTCAAATGTACGTTCAAAGGCGCAGATGTTCATTAAAGAAAACATCTTGATGAATAAATAGCAAAATACAGAAATGCTAAAATTACAAAACCTTTAAAACCTGCTTTTGCTGAGTATGGCATTTCAGTGAATGATTACTCAGACAAAACTTAATATGAAATTCCAGGAGTTCTATTTTACTGTATCTTAGTGTAGTTTAGTTTATTTTTATTTTTATAGTATAGTATATTTATTTTTTCTGACCATAGAACAACTCACTGTACATGTAGTTTGTTTTAGCGTTGAATAAATATTATATTTATTTCACTGCAAACTTCCTGGGAAAATCTTTAACAATGTTTCAATAATCCCATTAACTCCTCCTAGATGGTTGACGCAGCTGCAAATAAGATTTGTATGCCCACCCCAAATTTTAACTCTAACCCTACCCGTAGCCTTCATTGTCGCCCCAAATTAATTGTATATGCTCCTCATTTATTCAGGTTACCTACAGCATGGAGCTAAAATAAGATAATATTTTAGCTCCATGCCTACAGTTATCCAGAGAGGCATATACAAATGCATTGAAGGGCTGGAGGGTTTAGGTTCAAGTAAGTGGATGTACAATGGAAAGTTATTCCATGTCTGTCAAGTTGCTCTAAACAATTTAATTTTTAAAGAGTGGTTCTGCGTTTTGTTTTCTCTCATACTGTCTGTCATTATATTGATATTCAACATTCACTTGAGTATCCTTACTGTGGAACATTAATACGACACGACTGACATCACTCGCAAAACACAGTTATACATACAATGTGTGAATAAGGGGTTGTTTTCAACCGTAGATGAGAATGCCAGTTTTCTTCTCTTTTTTTGTGTGTGACAACGAACGAGGTCGACGCATACCGGAAATGAAAATCAAAATCAAGCTGTTGCAGTGTAGGTGTCACCATTCTGCCTGTCCATTCCATCGGTGCTACGACATCGATGTCTGATCGTTTCATCAGGACATTACGCTGAAAATAGTGCTTCACAAATCAGCGCGAAATAGAGTAATTCTATAACAAATCTGTGTTTTTCGAATCGGGCGTTCACTAGTCAACAACGCATCGAACACGGAACCGTCAATGTTGGCTCAAAAGTTTCACAAACAGGAAATTCATGGTGAATCTATGGTAGTTCCACAGATCCTGCCATGTAGAACTGCGTTTAAGTTAAAGAGATTGCCACTTACTTGGTGTGGCCCCTGCACGAATTATTGTCGGTCGTCTCGGTGGTGGTGGGACACTACTCTCCTCTGTTGTGGCTTCCGCCATTTTTTACTACACGTCTATTCACGTAATTTGTATAACAATGATTCGTAAAATGTGAAAGAAGTGTGGAAGAGAACAAGGATGCAATTTAAAAATGTGATTATTATTTTTATACAAGTGGAGAAAATATATTGTTGAAATATACAAAGTTATTCTACAGAATTTATTTGGAAATAATATTAATAGTTTAACAGCCTGAACAAAACGAATACACAAGACAGTGTTGACACTGAGGGCGATGATTACCATAAAGTTTATTATGCCAATGTCTATCATCGTCCGCCCACATGGTCGGACATTCATTCCCCTTGAAAATTCAAGATGTCTATTTAAATAATTTGCAATTTACTGACCATTTTAGAGGAATGCATTATTATCCTTTTTAATTATTACGAACAGAATAATTAATTATAGAAATGATGCTTAGCGGTTTAAAGCGCGGTGGTCGTCGCGCAGCGCGTGTTCGAATTTCACGTAAATAAACAATGTATTTTACACGCGTTGTATACGTCGCTATGAGTCCCATATCGAAGAGGACGCGGCGCGACGACTGCCGCCTTTTAAAGATGCAATATGAATAAACTATTTTTTTTTCAATGGGCATGTTGAGTGGATTACGATACTGTAGCTCGCTTTCCTAGCGAGATAAATAACACGAATACAAATGTGCCGTGATTGTTATCGTACATATCAAAACACTGATGATTTCACTGATTAATACATACTGTGCTGTGGGCTTTCTATAAAACGCATAACCGGAACAGTACACATCACTTGAAATGTAATATTGAAGTTATTTTCAAGAAACCATTGTCATGGCATTAGATACAGGATTTTGGTTGATATACAGTACACCTACCAATCCCTTTACCCTAATCCTGATGCAAAGATAGGATAGGATTATATTTTCATTAAAGGGCGGCAGTCGTCGTGCCGCGTCCTGTTCGATATGGGACTCATAGCTACGTATACAACGCGTGTAAAATACATTGTTTATTTACATGAAATTCGAACACGCGCTGCGCGATGACCACCGCGCTTTGAGTTTATGTTAAGTTGAAGTTACAAATTGAATTTTAATGAGATATAGTACATTAAACTACATGTAAATTAAAATGCATTCTGATATAGAATTGTATTTCAACCAAGTTTAAAGGGTGATGCATGGTCGCCGGGCCACGCATTGATTTGCACTAGATTTGCGTTGTTAACCATTTCACCACCAGACTTTCTGTTCCCAAATTTTTCTGCACTTTTTTTCTTCAATATTTTTGGAAATTAATCCCAATTTTGGAAACATACAAAATTTCAATCAATTCGGCTATTTTTGTCCCAATCATCTAAAGGAAAGTGCAAACTATGACATGAACTATTTTGTGAATTTGTGATGAAAAGTGGGAACTGGTGGTGAAAAGGTTAGAAATTGATTTTCCCACAATCCAGTGCAACCTACCAGTGGCAAGGACAGCTGCAAATTTATCTGGACGCAATGTACACTGAATAAGTACTTTGACTCCTTGGAATTGAACATTGGTAACATCTAGTGTGTATCATTTTTAACACATAAAATCATCATCTTTGTATGTGTCTCGTATCATGGGCATGCATGTCAAGACAACCACCTACCTTTAATTAAGTTGCATATAAATTGTCATTCCATGAAAGTTGACTTAAGTTTTATGGCTCCACTTTTCATGGAAGAACTGCATGTGTGCAGTGTTCCAGTTCTGCATTTTACAAACACATAATGCTGTCATTTTAGTTCAATATAAGCTATCGCTATAATCCAATACATCAAATGGCACGTTCTCATTCACAATGCATCTTTAACAAGAAAAGTGACAACAAAAATATCCCAGAACCATCACAAGTATTCATTTCTTTTGAGTAAAACCATTTTCGTTCAGAGACGAGACGAGACTGGACTGGAAGATACACGACAGTTACCAATTCCTTCCAAAATAAAGATTGTGCCTTTCTTTTTTTTTTAAATTGGTGATTTTGTAATAAATAAATAGAAAGTAATCAAAGTGCACAACCCTGTAAATAACGATACATTTTTGGATGTGTCAATTATGAAAATTACGTTGTCAAATCAGTGAAAGAAAGATGTGGACAAACATAGCCAGCAGTGATTTCATGAGTTTCGCTCCATGTGAAATTTTGTAGGATAAAGTACAAACCAAATTATCCGCTACAGGTATCTCCATTAATTTAGTTTTATCATGGCTTCACTACTAAACATCTTCCTGAAGGCCAGAGGTTATTAATAGTGACTAGGAATAGAAGACACAAAACAAAGTAGTAACATGTACTGACATTTCAATACTATTGATGTTTATTTGCAACCTTAAAAAGATGGGAACTAAGAAGGAGCCAGTGAGCTTCCAATTAAAAATAAAAACAAATCATTTTTACACGACATTGTTGATATATTCTACCTTAATTCTGTTTACATTTGCATTACAGTCTTGGTAGATGTTTTACTATCCAATGTCAATATTAAATTGTACGTTATTTTAACGTATCTTTTAAAAAAAAAAAATTTCCCTGTCTATAAAGCAATCAAGTAAAATAGAAAATACAACTATTTTATTCGTAAACAGTTATCTTTTTTTGTAAAGACATGGTTGCAGTTCCAAACCAAACAGACTGTTCCATTTCTCAGCAGGACCAGTTTTGGTGAAATCAAACACGTAGAAATGGGTGTTACTCAGGTCCTATAAAAATGTAAAACAATGATTTAATATATTATATAACATGAATAATCAGCTTGCCCAAAATCAGATATGTATGTCTGTAGATAACAGTTGGACCACTGTGTGTGGTAGATCTGTTGTTCGTAGACGTTAGTCCCAGCATGGAACTATAAACCATATAGCTCACAACTGCATCAATTGGCACATGAGAAATATTTGTACATAAATACCGGTACACTAAGAAATGTATAAAATGTTTACCTTTGTGAGTAATAAAAATCCAAGTCTCTTCAGAGCTCTTATAAAATTCTTGCAATTTTCAAATCTACTTGCAACTTCAACAATTTTCAGAATTCCACTAAAAAGAAGAATAAATATTCATGGAATAAGGAGCAATTGCACGCTACATCATCAAGCTGCAAGGTAGAAATGCTGCTCGTAAAATGTCCCGTTTGTGCATAATTGTGATATTGACATTTTCAAATTCCATATACATGCCTATATAAACTATAACAGAACACTAATTTCTAGAAATGCTCATTGACTTGTGATTTCTCATCAGCGGGTATCTTTAGCACATGTCACTACAACAGACATTTTGTGTACAGTGTAAAGTGGCACAAAATGGAAAAGTTTGTCAATGTTGGAGGAAATATTGTTGAATGTGTACAAGTTCAGATGTGTCCTTTTGGCCTAAAATGCACCAGCTTCATATATTTTTTTGGCTGTTCTAGAATTGAGTTGAAAATGTACAACAGCGTCATTGCATGGGAAACATTACTGCAGTGCGTTGGTTACTATGCAACCAACAATTCTGAATTTAATACCACAGAGTTCACAAAACAACAAATAATATTTTGTATATAATATTAACAACAATCTCATTGTACATATATCACTGGATTTTAATTCATTAAATCAAAACCCAAGTGAACAATTTAAGATCTGTGAATTTAAAACCCAGTGAATATGTTCATAATATTAATATTTAATCAGTGTGAAAATAATCTTCTAAAAAATGTAAAGAAATGGAAATATTACTTATATTCTCTATTAGAGCCACACCTCAATGCAAGTACAAGTTTTAGTAATAATTCATATACCTTACTGGATGGGGTAATTGTGAATGTCCAATGTTAGCGACATTTATGCTTGTACATGTATGAAAATAACTAACCCTTTTTTCAGTACTCTGTTTGCTTCACTGAGGTAATCAGATAAATTGGTTCCCATCAATGATAGACAGAATACTGCAATATCCACGCTCTCATCGTCCAATGGAACCTGTAATGTATATCAAGTTATTACGAGTTTATTGACTGTATGCAAGTGAGTAGTGATCTTCAGTATTCAGATATCAATTCATAAATTCACCAAATGGCAAAAACTGACTAGCATCCAAGTCTTCTAGGGTAAATGTGTTAAGTGAAATTCAAGTGTACTGTAAATTACAATTTTATAACATTTCTGAGAATCAGACTTAATTCCAGCATTAAAGGGTGGTGGTAGTCGCGATACATCATATTCGACGTGGGTCCCATGCTATGTAACAACCCATGTGAAATACATCGCTCGTTTACACAAAAATTTAACATGCACTGTGCAACAATCTTCCTCTTTAAAAATGATTCTAACATAGAAGATACATGTACCTTGGACATGTCACACACAGTAACATGTTTATTCAGTGCTATCAAGTCATATGAATGGACTTTATTTTTCACGCTTTGCGCAATCTTCGCTTCTCCACAGCCAAAGTCACACACTACCAACGATTTGTGCCTAGCAGAGAGAATACATGAAATTGGAATGTTATTGTCTGTATTCAAAAGTGAACGCAATGCAACAACATTATCAGTTTTACATCTACCTGTACCTAATTAAAACTAATTAAAACTAAAATTAAGAGCGACAGTGAAAAACAATCCGATTCATTCTATAAAGTGTAGACAGTAAAAGTAAAATTGATATAATTTAAATAATATTATAATTTTATTCAGCATTTTTGGTTTTATATTGTGTGAGGTTTTTTTTTATTAATAACTCCTCAAACAAACCTAATATTTTAGTCTACAATGTACATGTAGCAGGTCAAATTGCAAAAAGTGTGAATCCTGAGGTACAAAAGTTTGGCTACTTTCAGTAAAACTAGTCAGTCATCCCCCCCCCCCCCCCCCTGTTTGTATGATACCATTTATTTAAGTGGTATTTGTTCTCGTTAGATATGCAGGATTATTTCCCAAATGGACTCGTAATTTAATTAAAGAAACAATGTGGTCAGCTATTCAACTATTCTAATATTCTTCTGATCTCAGTTTGGTCTAACGTACATCATGTACACTACATTCTATATTTAGATTATTCAAATCCAATATTGGCGTAAAAGTGATAAATTAAATTTTAGAACTAATCCTGAGGAACCTGGTCAGACTACCTGTGTGGTTATAATTTGATACCTTAAGTTATCAGTTTCTGGCAAAATACAGGCATTCTATTTAGAGACAAGATTGAACTTTGCCCTTTAACTCAATATCTACCGGTAACTATCGATTCGGTGTAAGGCGAGTTTGACTGCACATAGTAAAAGTTTTGTTAAACATTTGACTGGGAATAAAGTAAGATTTATTTATTTTAAACATATAGTTGCATAAACAGGACCAACATCGAACACAATACCATAGGACTTACTTTTTCTTGATGTATTTGATAATTTTCTCCACAGGGTTTACTGGCCATTTGCTAATTTGGGCTGCATAACCCTGGTGATAGATCTTAAAGGCATCTTTATCATTGTTGAATAGATCCTTTGCTTCTTTCCCTGTTGTTTTATACAGCTGTTCATTTATGAACCTGAATCGTGCAGAATCCAAAGTCCCTGACAATTTGTTACGCAACTCAACAGCTTTATGCAAGGCTTTTTGAGTCGTGGAATTATTCAATTTGTTTATATTGGATTCCTCCTCGCTAACATCTAGTGCACTGTTGTTCTTCCTCTTCTTCTTTTTCTTCTTCTTCTTCTTTTTTTTCTTATCTTCATCACCAGTATCTTTATTAACTATTTCTTTGTTTTGGGATTGTTTTTTAATCACTGTGTTTTTTTTCACCGTGTTTGAAGATTCAGATGGTCCTTCCAATTTCGTTGTCAAAGAAATGTTTTTATCTTCATCTGTTGGTGTAGCCCCAGTTCTAGCCTTTTTACCTCTTCTTTCTCTCCTGGTTTTCTTCCTTTTAGGGGTTTCACCGTCTTCTGTAGTTTTTACTCCATCTTGTTTCAGATTGCAATTAGAAGCTGTCAGCTTCCCGTTTTTAACTGGGCTTCCAGGCGCAATGTCCTGCTGTTTACGTTTCTTACTTACTTTCCCAGCAACAGATGATGCTGATGTATCATTTGATTCTGCTTCAAGTTTTTTCTCCCATTTCTTTTTACCTCTCCTATTCTTTCTTTTTTTCTTAACGGTCGGGACATTATCGGTTTGTTGTTTGGTGACTTCAGTATCACCATCAGCCAAACGTGCACGATTTTTCCCGCCTTTCAGTCCTCTCCTAGCTCTCTTCTTCTTGACAATTCCTCCATCTTTTGTATCAGCATTATCTGCTGATAATTTTTCTCTCTTGGCAGGTACATCTGATGTTTCCATTTCACTCCCTGTGTGCTTGTTCCTCTTCCGCTTTCTCTTCCGCTTAGCTTTGTTTTGTCCAGTCTCAAAGCTTTCATCATTATTATTCAACTCGCTTTTCTTCGCAGTCTCTTTTTTTATATGTTCCGGCGTCCCTGCAGATACAGTACGTTTTCGCTTAGCATCTTTCTGGGCAACATCCATGTTTTTATCATTAAGCGAGTTTTTTTTATTTATTTTTACTTTTTTCACGTGTAGCGGCATATCTGATGATTCAGTTTCACTTTTATGGGATTTCTTTCTCTTTCGATTACCTTTCTTCTGTTCACCATCAATGCTACTATTAAGCATATCATTGTCAGTGGTTTTGATTTCGTTCATCTTTGTAGGTGTTTTATTCTTTTTACTCTTTTTGGTCTTCACCCCTTCTTGATTCTTAACTGGGGAACCAACTGATGCTTTTTTCTCCATCTTCATCGTTAAATGCTTTCCAATGAAATCTTCAACTAAATTGTAAACCAAGCTACTGTCTTTTTATCTGATAATGGAAGAAGATTAGTATTAACATAACATGTACACTTAGTTTCATTAAGTCATGAATATTGTTATATAAAATAATTTTATAAATTTTCAAATGACAGGTGAACCCATGACCAATTATATTAAGACTCAGTGAATGTATAGTGCCTGTATTGAGTTTCTATGTACAAAGCAGTAAATTGACCTATGAATGAAGCCAACTAGCACAGAATCATGAGTAATGGGTATGACCAAATAGCCAAAGAAAGCTTTTCTTTGGATGTCAATGAAATGTGAGGGTTGGTTTAGGTTACATGTTTCATTATTTCAGTATTTTATAAATTTTCATGTAAATGTCACAAAGAACAAACCAGTTCACGTAGAGATGAAAAAACAAATGGTGCGTGTAGGGCGGCTTAATAGTAGCCAGAAAAACAGACATGTACACAGGGTTAGGAAGTACATGTACTGTAAAACCATTTATTTTCACCGACATTTAATTTCACTATTTTGATGTTTTGAGCACATTCACTGTGTTTTAAATTCACGAATTTATCAAGGAAACAATGAGCTTTATTATTTTACATTTTCACATAGATTTAGTTTAGAAGTTTACCTATCAGCAAAAATAGCGAAATTAAACCCAGTAAATATTTTTTTTGAGTACATGTAACAAGAAAAAAAAATGAATGTACTGACCAAGATGTCAGTGCATTTGTGTGTGTGTGTGTGTGTGGGGGGGGGGGGGTCATGCATAGCGGACGACACCTCGCCTAATTCCCTACAGCTACATGTATATGCATGCATGGAACATTTATGTTTACATCAGGGAGCTGGTTACATGTACTGTCAAGTGCACTAGCCAAGTACCACAGAAGCCAAAACGCAAACAAACGACCAACTGTACGAATGGTGTTAATATATGTGTAAATAGCGTAATCTAGTTTTTAAAAAAAAATGATACCTTTGCTGGAAAATGTGCTCACACGTGTGTTCGCCTAAACAGCTGACATGATAGTGAATCTTAACGTCACATTTTTGAAACATGATTCAACACAAATATAATTAATAATTCTATGATTATTTCTGATTCTTATTACTGATATTGAATAAAAATATACAATATAACTATGTTAACGTTTTAATTCATTTTATCTAATACATAGTCGCGATTTTTTTGAATCGACAGGCTGTAAATAAACGGCATTTTATGCAAATATCACCAGCAGAGTGCATTGCCATTTTTGGCATAACTATCATATTTACCGCCTTGATCGGCTTACAATCTGCAATATTTGTATGCACATTTTGGCGTTATACTGTGTTGATATCACCACACAGACTCATCGGGATAATAACTATCGACGTAACACATTTTGCCAGGGTCAATAATGAACTATTCGTAGGAGTTGTCAAACCCTTTTCTTCACGGCTTTACACGGAGTGTTTGTTGACGGGTGTCGGGTCAAATTTGAGATCCCGAGATTTCAGTACGGCGCCAGTTACTCTCGGTGTTTAGTTTACTCGACTGAACGTCCGATCCAAAATGGATGACATATTCTCCCAAGTTCGCGAGGGACATACCACCCATGTCCGACTTTGGCTGGATAACATCGAAAACGATCTAAATCAAGGGTAAGAATGGTTTTGACCTTTTACAATGTAAAAGATTCCTCGCTTTGTTTACACTATAAGATCAGTAAAAACTGTGCTCGTTATTTATGACATACATGTACTCGTGCATTCGTAACTAGTTTTGAGATGTGACCTTCGTTTATTGTAGTACATAGATATGTTGCCAGACTTAATACTAAGTGGTGTCTAGTGTGGGGGCGGGGCAATCATTGGGCTCTGAATGTAATTGCGGTTGTATGTGTGTATTCAAAGAGATGTGAACTTGCACAGTGACTCACATCCATCCTTGAATCATCTCTGTCTGTAACATTCCTGTAGGCAAATAACGCTCAAACGTTTTTTGAAAAAAAATTACATACTAGTAATACTTTTCAAAACGACTATTTCTTGTGCATTGAGGATAGTAAGAGTCCCACTGACAAGCACTTACCCAGAAATCAAGATTACACATATTTGTAAACAAGGAGTTATTAGTATGCAATTACAGTGGTTTATATTTGACAAATATCCTAGTAAATTTTGACGATGTGAACAAATTATGTTACAGTATTGGGAGAATCATCAGGGGACAATTACCATATTTTTGCTGTCGATAAAAAAATCAATGGTGATTATTTTTTAAACACAAGTGACCTACATTCGTCTAAATCTGTTAAATTCTCTCAATTTGTCTTTGGTACCTGGTGTTTGTATCAGACTGACCATTACGTATAAAAAAAATACAGCATGAGTACATACAATGCAAAAATACATACATACCTCACAAACCCCTGGGTAAGGTCAAGAGATTCTGTTAGTATATGTTCTACTTCGTAACCATAACCATAATTAAATCATAAGCATCAGGTTTTGGTTAATCAGTGTTCAATTCTGCTATGGTATATACAACATGTGTGGTTGCAGGACAATTAGAATGTACATGCCACGTGGTAAACAGAAGTAAAATATTCAATGACAATTATATAGAGCCAGGCTCTTGGTTTGTGACATTTGTTTGTCATAATTTCCTTTTTGTATTAAGTGCTGTTCCAATATTATAAAAAATTGCATTAGAACAATATAAATTTTTACGAATACCTTTTGAAATGATAGTGATGCATGTGTAAGTGTAATTGCAAATGCTAAGTGTAAGTTTTCATGTAAAGGAATATAAAAATGTGGATAAAATGAATGTAGGAAAGTAAGTCATAGTATGTGTAGGTACATGTAAATGAGCTGCTTAGCGGCGGTCTCTACTTGCTGAGTATTTTCTATTTGTAATATATTTCTTGTTCTGTCATAAGTGATACATGTGACATGTCTTTTAATTTGTCTTTAGTTTGAGTATTTGTAGAATTCTCTTAAGAACCATTGGGTTAAATTCATTTCATACTTGTGTAATTAAGTACTTAGTCAAAATATGTTACATATATGAAAATGCAGTGATTGAGATTTGTTTTCGTCTCATCTGCACACTTCTCATTTAAACCATTAGAAGAGTACATCACACAATAATTACATATACATTATTACATGTATGATATGTTTCTCCTAATGCACAGACAGTTGGCATTTAATGGTAATTGGGTCACAACAAAAATACTTGAATGAAATACCAGCGTTTCCAGCTAGAGGGAATACAACATTATCAATAATTTACCCAATGGTATGCAGTACATAAATTTGAAGGTCTCTCACCACTAAAATGGTGACTTGACAATTTTATCAATGATATCAAATTAAAATCGTTTCGTTTGTACTATCAAGCTCAAAACAATGAGATAGTTTTGTTCTTTGAACTTGAAATGTAGGCTGTAATTTTTGTTTTCATTTTTTTGTTTTCATTTTATCCACTGTCTGTAGAAAAGTAAGCGGAAAAATAAAGGTAGTCCTAGGAGGGTTAATTTACTCTGCTTCTTTCTAAAGTACAACACTGGATAATAATATTTATTCAGTGTGGAATGAAACTAAGGTTTATAAGAACAACCACATTAAATGCATTGCAGGATGTATTGTATTAATTAAATTTATGTTTAAAAAATGTATATTGTGAAAGCTATTTGTACACTACCATTGCCACCTAGCACATCCGTCAAATTGTATCCAATTTTTAAAAACATTGTATGATGCACTGTGAAAAACATTTATGTATTCCATGAAACAAAAGTGTTTGTGAATTGGGGTGTATGAGTGAACTTTCGTTTATGATCTTTCAATGATTTTCACTGGGGTCCCAGAGATTTCTAACTGCACAAATTTATTACAGTATATCCCATAATCTCACATGCACCTACATCAAAGTACAACTAAACGAAAGCATAAATACTAGTAACCAGGGGCTTCGTTAAGAGCTGGCCGCCGACCATATGGCCGGCTACAAGCCCAAATTGGCCGTCTTACTTTCAGCTTACCTTTGCACTGCCAATAACTTTTTAATTTTTTTGGCGTGTTGTTACATAATGATGGCCTGTTATTAAATGCATTGGTGAAATCCCTGAGTAACCCAAAATTGAGAATAAAAAAATAATAAAACACTCTTTGCTATCCTTTCAGAGATGACCATGGCTTCAGTTTGTTACATTGGGCATCCATGGAAGGTAGAACTAGTATAGTGGATATGTTAATACAACGCGGTGCTAAGATTAACATCACTAATATGGGAGATGATACTGCTCTACATTTAGCTGCAAGTCATGGATTCAGGGATATTCTACTGAAGGTAAGTTTTCAATTAGCTAAGTATAATTATTCAAGTTTATTGCCTGAAGTCAGTTTACTGTAATTAAGTTTTCAAAATTCAGTTGTCTTTAATAGGATTTTCATATTCGTTACAAATATTCCAGACACCAGACATTTGGGCTATGAGAAACGCATATACCGGTAAATCAAAAATACCGATACATTTGTTTACACATGATTTGTAACAATATCCAAAATGAAATATTTGATTTTACTTTTCAGTTGTTGCACAACAAGGCCGCTATCAATGCTTTGAATGAACATGGTAATACGCCGCTACATTATGCATGTTTCTGGGCACATGATCATATTGCTGAAGTAAGTGAAACCTGCTGTAGTATTATTTTTCTATGCTGGGGACAAAAAAAAAATAACCATGTAAATCAAATTTGTGAACACAACTTTCTCTATAATTATGTCACTTTAGCAATGTGTGTAATTAGAAAGCTGTAATATAAGAGAATAGGACTGTATTTCAATGTTGTTTGCTTTAAGATTAATTCAAAAATGTCGACAACCTTAAAAAATGTTTTTGTTTCATCAGGTGAACAATTTTCAGTTGCCTTACTATAATGAAGTTTCCAAATGTCATTTCAGTTTCGTTATTGATACTCTAGCCTCTGATAATATATGCGTTGCTGTAGAGAGTGTCTTAAACTAGTTATTAATGTATTTTAGCCTGCTACTATTGTAAGGTGAGCAGTGAGCCAGAAATGCCATTATCAATGGACATATTGTTCCGATGACCCCACCAAGAAAAGGCATAACACCAAGGTCAAATGTTTTACAAGTGGATTAA